GCATCTGGTGGATTTGAACCGTGCGCCTCTGGGATTGTAGTTGCAGGTCCTTGCCACTAGGCCACCAGAGCTCCCCAGGGGTCCGCCCTCTTGACAAGGGGCGCAGCCTGTATCAGAGCTTCCTTCTCCCTGAACATCCTTCTCCACTAAAAGGTGTCTTGAAGCTGGCCCCATCTTCTCCTCCAAACTGCCCAATTCCAGGTCATGCACAACCAGAGGGCACCTAACGACCGACTTCAGACCTGGCTGCACCATGCGTGTGGCTAAGCCTCTCCCAGGGGTTTGCTTCAATAGTGACTGTCCCGCCCACCTCCCCCCCCCAAAACACCCCTGTGGGCTCCAGCCTCGCCCACCTTGATTTCGAGAGCACTTCCGGTCAGTGACCCGAGTCAGAGGTCCCCGACCCAGGATGAGGGTTTGACCGTCCGAGGGCAAGAAAATGGGGGGCGCCCCACCCGGGGGGCTCTCGAGCCACAGGCGACCCTGAGCTTCCATTTTGGGCCCAGGCCTAGGGAAAAGTCAGCAAACTATTTAATTGGCAAACCTTAGCGCTGCCCACCCTCCCATGTGGCCCCTGCGAAAACCCGCCTCTTTTTGGCGCATCCTTAAGACTGGCTCGTCCCACCTCGAGAGACGACCTCGGTCCCGGAAGTTGCGAAAGGAAGTCCCGCCCTCCTCCAGGAAGTCCCGCCCTCCTCCAGGAAGGCCCTCTGTTCGGGGAAATTTGCCACTTTGATCGACCAATGGCTCGCGCCGTTGCCCCGGCGACGCCGCCGGTTCCATCCCTCCGGGAACCTGCATCTGAAATGCTAGCTCATGAGCCGAGTGCATCGCGCGCGCCGCGCAGCCCGCCCCCCGCTCTCACCTGGGCACTCCCCTAGGGCTCACGCGCCGCTTCCGGCCCGAGACGCTCCGCCGGCAACTCGGTCCGCTTAGTTTTCAGTTCCGCGGCGGACGGAAATGACTCACTGCACCGGGAAGGGCGGGGCCTTGGCGTCTCCCACCTGCGCAGCGCCGCCCCATCTCAGGCTTAGAGCTGTCCCTGCGCAGCTCTGATTTAACCTCTTGCTCAAATTAGCGGCCAGTAGGATCTGATGTGTTCTCGCTCCACGAGCTTATCTCTTACTCTCTCGAATTGTACACTTGCACCTTTTTTACTGGAACTAGAAAGAGCAGGTTGTGTGTGTTGATGGTTGAAAATTAGGAAGGGCGTACGTCCTGTCTCCATACCTTTTCAACCTGTATGCAGAATAGATGATCCCGGAAGCTGGGCTCTATGAGGAAAAATGTGCGATCAAGATTGGTGGAAGATCTGTCAACAATCTGCGATATGCAGATGACACAACGCTGCTTGCTGTTGCTTGTGCTTGCTGAAACTGAGGAGGACCTGAAGCACTTGTTGCAAAGGATCAAAGACTCACCCTCCAATATGGATTGAGGCTCGATGTCAAGAAGACAAAGATTCTCACCACTGGGCCAATTGGCAGCATCAGGATGGATGATGAAGAGATTGCGATTGTTCACAGCTTTAGTTTGCTTGGCTCCACAGTCAACACTCTTGGCACCAGTAGCCAGGAAATTAAAAGGCGCATTGCCATGGCAAAGTCTGCTGTTAGGGACCTCTCCAAACAAAGTACTGAAGAGCAATGGCTGTCTCTTTGTAGACTAAGGTGCGTCTGATACAGGCCATGGTCTTCACAATCACTTGTTATGCATCAGAGGGTTGGACAATGACCAAGTAGGATAGAGGGAGAATTGATGCCTTTGAGCTGTGGTGCTGGAGAAGAGTATTGAGGGTACCATGGACTGCTAGGAAAACAAACAGATTCATCCTGGAAAAGGTTAAACTGGGTGGCTCCTTAGAGGCAAGGATTCTGAGGCTCCATCTGACATACTTTGGACATGTTGTAAGGAGGGACTGGTCCTTGGAGAGGGACATCATGCTTGGTAAGGTGGGGGAACAGCGCAGGAGGGGAAGGCCCTCTATGAGGTGGATTGACTCAGTGACTGGGGTAATCGGGATGGAAATGTCAAAGACAGTGCGATTGGCACAGGACAGAGCGGAGTTTAGGGCTCTTGTACGTAGGGCCACTATGAGTTGCAAGCAACTCCACAGCACATAACAACAACAGATAGAGCAGGAGGAAGTTTTCTTTCCCATTTGCAGTTCGTTGTCAGTGGGAGGCCCCCGTCCCCCACACTTGGTGTTGTTATGTGCCTTCAAGTCGCTTGCAACTCATAGCGACCCTATGTACAACAGCCCTGAAATTCACTTTATCCTGTGCCAATTTTACTGTCTCTGACACAACTACCTTCATTACCTCAATTACTGAATCAATTCATCTCATCGAGGGTCTTCATCTCCTGCGCTATCCCTCCACCCTTCCAAGCATGACGTCCATCTCCAGGGACTGGTCCCTCCTTGCAACAAGTCCAAAGTATCTTAGACAAAGCCTCAGAACACTTGCCTTAAAGGAGCAGCCTGATTTCATCCTCTCTAGGATGAACCTGTTTGTTTTCCTGGCAGTCCATGGTATATTCAACTCTTCTCCAGCAACACAGCACAAAGGCATCAACTCTCTATCTCCTAGTCATTGTCCAGCTCTCCAACACATAGCAAACAATTGCAAAGACTATGGTCTGCATCAGGTGCACCTTAGTCTCCAGACTGACATTCTTGCTTTTCAGTACGCTGGAGACATCCCTGACAGCCGACTTTCCCAATACAATTCGTCTTTTTATTTCCTGGCTGCTGGTACTAAGAGTATTGATTGTGGAGTCAAGCAAACAAAAACTGTTAAAAAATCGCACTCTCTTCATCATCTATTGTAATGCTGCCAATGGGCCCAGTGGTGAGAGTCTGTTTTGTTTTTTCTATGTTGCACTTCAATCCATATTTAAGACCCACCCCTGATAATATCCTTATTTTTAGATTGTTCCTTATGCTGTATATTGTCAAGTTGGGCTAATTTGTCTACATGTTGATAGTTTCCAAAGTAGTAGCGAATCTCTGATGGGTGTGTCTTGACAGATGGAGGCAGGGGTGTTCCATGTTTATTGATAGAATCCTAGCTTCTGACCTGGGAGTTCTGGTGGACTACTGGTTAAGTAGCACTGTCAGCTCAAAGGCAAGCAGTTCGAATCCACCAGCTGCTTCAGGGTCAGGAAGACGGGCAATCTTTTCTTGTGTGATTTCCAGCCTCTGAAAAGCTGCTGGAGGATCAGCTGAGTCAAAGCTTCAGACTTATGTCCCACGTGTTCTATCACTCCCAGCCAACATCCTGTGGTAGAAACAGCTGCAGCTATAGGTAGGTTTTGCCTTTGCTGGGGAGTATGTGAGCTAGTTAAGGAGAAGGATTCCTTAAAACAGTCCCTATTCCACTCATCTCCTTGGTAACTGGGCCTCCGCGGTAAGAGAGACCCGGAATTCCTCCAGATCTCAACCCTAAGACATCTCCATTCCCTATTTGTTAAATGAAAACTCAGTTTTGCAGTGAGAATCAATGATCAGCTTCAGGCTATGTTGAAAGAACACACCACACTTTTCTTAGAGGTAAAACTCTTTATTCTGAGAGCGCCCCTCCCAACTCCCGACCGCTATCCCCCACTCTCTCCCCCACACTAGGGCCAGAGAGCGAGACCCCTGCCCCCCACCTTGGGTGGACGAGGGCCCTTTAAGGCACCTGTGGGGGTGGGGTGAGAGGGACGGAAGCTGGTACCGTCCTGGATGCAAGGACGGGCTTTGATTGGCAGGCTGTTGTCGGATGGAACCAATGAGAAAAGGTGTCAGAATGTAGAAAGATTGGACCATCCCTGAGGAGAGGGCCAGAGGGACAAAAATTGTCAGGGTTTAGGGAAAGGTGATTATTTAGGGAAAGGTGATCCCAGCCCCTAATAGTGTAAAGAATGTAAATTAAAGGCCTCAGGCCAATCCAGATCACGGGTAGAGGCTCGGTCACGCCCCCAAGGGACAGGAGCCAATCTCGTGGGAGAATTCATAAAAGGCAAAAGGGAACTTCTGGGAGACTGGTCAAGCACTAGAGAGCTCGAGCCAATTAAAAGTTTAGGAGCGGCCCAGTCACTAGGCAGTAGTTTGCCACTGCCCAATCTTGGGACTTGACTGTGCTCTTTTGGCGATGCACCCAATGCCGAGCGAGCAGGAGTCTGTTACTAGGCAGAAAACGGCAAAAACTGACCAATTGAGTGCTTACAATTAGTCACGCCCCTGGTTGAGAGCGAGCCAATCCCTTAATGGAAAGGACCTGTCGCTGGGCAGAGAAAAGGGCGACACACCCCACCATGAGACGGGACTGGCATCGCGCCTCGGCGCAGGAGGGGGCCGTGGGCCAGCAGGGCATCCCTGTCAATAGGCCGGGATCGCCAGGGATGGTCAGTCCTGGCCTGGGCAGCACCGCGAGGCCAGTCCCGAACGTGCCACGGATTGGCGGGCCCCGGGGTGGGGGTTGTAGTGTGTGGCGAGGGGGCGAGCGCCGCCGGCCTCAGTATTTCCGCTTCAGTTTCTGGAAGTCGCTGGTGTTGAGCCGAGGTCTGGGCAAGTCTCCGAAGACCTGGGTGTCCTCAGCCTCCCGCAGCACCAGGGCGCGCATGCTCGCCGCGATGCGGTCCAGGTCCGGCGAGGACGGCTGCGGAGACAGCCACCGCGCGGGGTCAACACCGAAGGGGTCCCCAGCCCCACTTTTGTCCCCGAGCAGGAACACCCTTCCCCCTACCCTGCATTCTTAGGAGTTGCAGGAGCCCCTGCCATCACCTCCTCCCAGAAGCCCTCCTGACTCTCTCTCCTCCCATTCTGGGTCTGGAGCTGCCCGTATCCACAGCAGCTGAGCGCCTGTCTGCTGACCACCGGGCCAAGCGCTGCCCCAGGTTCACCTAAGTCTACACTTGAGATTCACTCATATTCCACTTGGGGCTCTGCCACAGCGAACAAGAGGCTTTACCCATCTAACCTCAGTCTTTCCCATCAAAAAACAGGGTAACATGGTAGCTGAGGTCCCTGGGCGGGCTAAAAGCTATCAGCACAGTGACCGCTGCGAAAGGGTGGATTTTGGTGCAGTGAATTAAGCGATAGGCTGCTAACAGAAAGGCTGGTAGGAGAAAGTGAAGATTCAGCCGTGGACACACTACAGGCAGATCTCCTCGGGCCAAAGGGGTGGTTGGGAGTCCAGCTTCACTGGAAGGCTCTTGGTTTCTGAGCTGGGTGGAATTCCCAGGCTGTACAGAGCGGATCCCTTCCATATCTCCCTCCAGAGTGGACTGTCCTGGAGGTATCCTGCCATGCTGCTGGCCCGTAGCCCCAGGTCCCACTGCCAAAAAGGGCTGAGATGCGGTCATCGGCAGAGGGGACCCGTCTGTCCAGAAACCCAGCATGCAGGTGGCCACAAACCCACATTCCACTCTGCGATCACAAGCAATGGCTTGTACAGGTGTCCCTGGTGTCCAACAACACTGAGCCCTGGGGTTTGCAGATGACCCTCAGATACTGAGTCCACAAGGACCCAGGATGCCTCCCTGCAAGTCTACAGGAAGCTGGGCTCTCATCCCGATTGGCCCCATGACATTCTGAGGCCCCAGGAAACGTCTCCGTACCCTCAGTGCCTCGGTTTCCCCTCTGCTTAAGAGAGCTTTTGTCATAGGCAACAGAGAAAGCCAGTGAGACCAGGAAGAGGACCAGGGGGTGGGAAGAATCCTGAGAGGGACCAGGAAGATGAGGGGTGAGGGGCAGTCTGACCCCTTTTGGGCCTGTTTCTTCCTCCTGAACAGGAATACCAATATGCTCAGTGGCAGGTGTCTTCCTGGCCAGAGCAAAGGGGTGCTCAATAAGCAGAGATGTGAGGCTGTCTCTACAAGACAGGCTAGAAAACATGAGTAGTCCCAGGAGTGGGGCTCACAGGTGCTGTGGGATGTGGGGAACAATTCAAGACCTGTTCAGCACCCCTCTGCCTTCACCCCTTCTCCAAGGAGCCACTCACCTGGCCGTTCTCCTCATCCGATGACCTCGCCTCTGTCCTCTTCTCCTTGAAGGCCCAGATGGGCACAGAGACGGGCAGGGACTTGGCGTACTGCTGCGTGGGCAGGGCCGAGGCTGGGGGCACGGAGTAGGCCGCAGGGCCGGCAGGCGTCTCCTCACTCAGGCTGCCGTCTGTGGGAGGAGGTGGCCTTTAGGCTCTGTCCCCGCCCTTTTCCCAGCCGGGGACAGCCTGGGGAACTCACCATCGGTGCTCTCGGGGTCTGACTCGCAGAAGGGGGGCAGGTCCTGGAGGGTGGCATCCTCGTCCATTACAAAGAGTCCTGTGGACAGTACAGGAGACCAGGGCCAGTTGGGTCCCTGCTGTACCCCACTGTCCCCAACTCCAGCATCTCTATGTTGTCTACGTTTGCCAGTCTTTTGAGCCTCTGGGCTTCAGCAGTTACGTTCCTTCTGCTAAGAACACCCTTCCCCTAGTGTCACAGATTGTTTCAACTCAAAATATGCGTCAACTTGGTTGGGCCCTGTCAGTGCTTTGTTGCTGTTGTTGTGTGGAGTCAGAACTGACCCACAGCTGACCCTCTTGTAGGTTTTCAGAAGCAGGGAAGCAGACTGCCCATCCTTTCCCCATGGAACTGCTGGTGGATTCGAACTCGGTGGCTTCAGGATTGGAGCACAGTTTCTTACCACTAGGCCACCAGAGCTCCCTTTTCTGGTGGTTTGGTGGCTATGAAACAATATAATCATTCTCCACGATGTCTTGGGATGTTAGCCAATCAGTTGTGTGGAATTCAGAGTGGGAGGCCCCCAAGTTAGTCAGGTCATATAACCCTTTATCTGCATATGGGTGGCATCATTTTTTTTTTTTAATTTTTCTTTTAAAATTTTTATCATTTTTTTTCACAGAGATTTTGGATTTCCATTCATTCATTGCCGCACTTTTCTCCCTGCCCACCCCTCCCCACCAGCTCGCTTCCCCCCTCCGAAGAGAGAAAAAAAAAAAGAAAAAAAAATTCCTTCATTAGTATACAATTCCCACATCCCTTCCCCCCACCCCCACCCCGAATACACTTCTCTATGCAACCTTAATTCTGGATTCCTGTGCTAACCATAATACTCAATCATATATCACTTCTAATCTGTTCTTTCCCTCATCTGTTTCAATACAAGATACATAATTTATCCAGTTTTTCTGTCATACCCCCACACCCTGATGTCAGACCCATTCTACAACAGTGGCACCATGCAGTATTTGTCCCTTTGTGACTGAGATAGTTCACTCAGCATAATGTCCTCCAGGGTCACCCACTTTGAATAATATTGCATGAGTTCCTTGTTTTTCAACGTGGTGTAGTATTCCATTGAGTGGATATACCACCGCTTCTCTATCTATTCGTTTGTTGATGGGCGGGTGGCATCTTTTTAAAGTGTAGTCTGCATCACTTTTCATCTTACAAGAGATAAAAGGAGGGGGAGCTCTGGTGGCCTAGTGGCAAGAAGCTGCACTGCAATCCCAGAGGAACACGGTTCGAATCCACCAGATGCTCTGCCGGAGAAGGAGGCGCAATATCCTCCTGTACCAGTCAAATCTGATTTGACGGTACACGCACACAAAATAAAAATTAAAAAAAAAAAAAGAGATAAAAGGAGGGAGAGTGAGGAGAGAGAGTGGGACGGACCTCAGTATCACCATCACCAAGAAAGAAGAGCCAGGATTGCAGCTCAGCTTTTGGGCCTGGGGCCCCTCTGCTGAGAAACTCCTAGTCTCAGTGGAACATTGATAGGAACCTGACTCCAGATCTGATAGACAGGGGAAGCCTTCCATTAGAGCTGGTGCCTTAAAGTTATATACTTCTATTCTCCTAAATTGTCAGGGACTCCATTTTTTTTTTTCTTCACTTGTGATCTTCCTGTTAGAAGCACTAGACAATTGGGACCCCTGGTTTTGGGCCTGATCATGGGCAGAAATGAGTTTCTATCCATCTATTACACTTTTGGGTGGGGGGGGGGGAAGGACAATTATGATCGTTGTTTAAGAAATGGTGACCTGTGAGCACAGAGGTGAAGTCACTTGCTTGAGATGCCACAGCTAAAAGGTGGCATCACCAGGATTTGTTTCTAAGGCTCTCAGCTCCTTTAACCCTAAGAGGATGCCCTTTAATCCTATAAGGGTTTTCTCCTGAGGCGGCCACCACTGGTAATGACAACAGCATGCTGAGGAAAGGTGCCTAGGTGGTGAACAGGCTGAGCACTAACGGCAAGGTTGGTGATTGAAACTCACCAGCTGTTCCTTATGAGAAAAGCCTTGACCATCTGTTTCTATAATGCCTACAGTCTTACAAACCCAGTGGGATGATTCTACTTTGTCCTAGCTTTGCCATATATCAGAATTAACTGGGTTTGACTGATTTTGCTTTGTTGAACCACCTGAAAAATCCTTATGTACCCTTTAGGGCCCTGACAATCTTACTGTCTAGTTTTTGAGAGGAAGTCTCTCACCTCCAAATACCCATGAGGACAGCTGGCTGCCCCTCTCCTGTGGCGTCCTCAGCTGTCAGCTGCAGCCCTTCCTTAGCTCTTTGGTCTTCTGGGAATTTGCGGCTCCAGATATAGAAACACTTCCAATCCTGCTCCTGGCTCAAGAAGCCCCCTCCCCTTCCCTCCCTACAGTCTCTTTGGTCTCCTCACACCAGGACAGCAATGCTTCAGGCAATCTTAGAGCCCCAGACAAGGGCTGTGGATGCATGGTATGTGAGCCCAGGCTCTGACAGTACTGGGCAGGCTCCAGGACAGGAAGAGTGGGAAAACCAAGGCCCGCAGAAGGAAAAGTGACTTGGCCAAGGCCTGACAGTGAGCTGGGGGTGGCCTCTGTGGCTCCCAGTCTCACGACTGGATCACCAGGGCTGAGAGATAAGGTGGCCCGCTCTGGGAAAAGTGGCTAGGGGTGGGAAGCAACTGCCCACCCATGAGCCTCATCAGCCTCTGCCCCATCTCACCTCCATTGTCGCTGACACCCAGCCTTTCCCCAGAGGTCTCCGTCTCTGTTGGCTCATCCTCCTCCTCATCTTCCTCCTTGGCCAGGGCTGGCTGAGGCGTGCTCCGTGTAGGGCTAGGTGGCTGTTGCAGTGGTGGGGGCATGGGAGGTCTAGCGGCAGTAGCTGCCCCATGGGCCAGAGCGATGTCATGGAGGCAGCTGCGGGTGGCCTCGGCCAGGGCCCCCCGGCCATGGGCGGTGTAGGTGCAGGGGCCCGGGCGTGGGGGCGGGGCAGCTGTCAGCAGCACCAGCTCGGTGCCGGTCCGGGCCCGGAAGCGCTCGGCGGCCCCCACCACGGCATCCCACAGCTCATCGGGGCGCCCCGACGCCATCCGCGCCCTGTGGGTCAGAGGTAGGCTCAGGTGATGTGGTTCCGACAACTTGCACTTCCCAACTCCAACCCCACCTGAGCAGCTGTCGCTTAGCTGCAGCTCAGACCCCGTCCACGCCACCTGGCACATCAGAGTTGAGCTCAGCACCTTCCCCCAAGCCCACTACTCATCAGCAATTGTGTGATCCAGGAATTGGTGTCATTGACTACCCAAGTCACCTGGCCACTGTCTCCATACCTTCCCACCTCACTCATTTCTGCATCTGAACCCACGGCCCCACATCTACTCTGTCCACTGTGGGAGCTTCACGACACTGTAAATATAACTGAGATGTGCTGCTAGTGTCAAATACACACTGGAATTTGAAAGCAGTATGAAATAACAGAAATCACACTACCTCATGGCTAGAACTATGATAACAACAGGATGAGAAAACGAATATATTTCACACAGATTGACTACCTAACACATTCTATGAGAATTCATGTCATCCGTTTTTGGGTTTTTTTTAAAAAAATCTAATTCGAAAAAAAAATCTAATTTGACTTATGACATCTAGAAAATTTAAATTATATATATGGCTAGCATTCTACTACTTTTGGAGAGAGTTGCCCTAAACCCTTGCCCACCTTCCAGCCTCCAGCTCACCAGAAGGGTCCTACAACCCAGAGCTCCACAGTGTCTCCTGATCTGGGTTCCAGGCACCTGACAATGTAGGCCCAGAGCCAAGTGGCCCTGCCTCCGTATCACAATCAACACGGTCCACTGTAGCCTTCCCACGGAAGCTACTCATTCCCCATCCACCCTTTGACATCAGGGTAACTCATTCCTATGCAAGTCAGCCCCTTCCTCTGGGCTCCCACATAAAATCCCAGAGCAGTGCTGTGACAGGTCCAAGCCAGAGGTTGGCAGGGCCCGGCGTGGGGTTCATACCCATTAACAGCCTTATTATTTGTAGAGAACTGGGGACTTCCTGGAAGGGAGTATCACGATTACACTCTCTGAACTATGGTATTGGGAGGCAGCAGGATGAAACTCTCTGGGGTTGCCACCCCAGGACGCATGGCTGAAAAGTGAATTGGGAGTGGATGAGTCCTGAGCCTCTCTAACCCCCAAAAAAAGACCTGGGTCCAAATGAGGAGGGACCGCCCCAGACCTCTCTGGATTCCTCCGTAGGAGGGGAAAAGCCAACACCTTCCCCTTCATGCTGACAATCTTCCCATCAGGCTATTCTCATGGAGGAAGATTTAAGGGGTGAAGACAAGGAGGTGAGACTTGCCCTCAACAGGAGAGGAAGGAGAAAGGTAAGGTGACTGGACTTCGCACAAGGAGAAGAGGGAAGAGAGGCAAAAGTGCAAAGAAGGAGGGAGGTCGAGCCCAGAAAGAGGTGATAAGAATCCTGCAGAACTCTGTCCATCCACCTGTCAAACTGGAAGCTCCGCCCACCTGAGGGTGGGAGGAACCCCAGGATGCACCTAGTGTGGGTTGTCATGGTGCGTGACAGGGGCGTTAGCTCAGCCTCCTCCCAACCTCGCCCTGAGGGTCCATCTGAGAACCCAGAACCCTGGGAGGTGGGACAGGAAATCCCGCCCAGGTGGGGGCCGTGGCCGGAAGTCCCGCCTTTGAGCGGGTGAGGGGCAACCCGTAGACCCCCCAGTCCACCCTTTGAGCCCCATGGACACAGTCCATGACCGAGGTAAGAATTCTAGTGGATCTTCAGGCCGCGGGATGAGGCTGTCTAGGATCTGCCGCGGATGAGACAGGACAGTCCCCGCAGGTGATCCCTTCTGAGCTTTCAGAGAAGGGTCCCTGGATGACCTTTGCCCCCTGATCTATGCCGGCGAGACCCCTCCCGAGAATCGCTCGCCCTCCCAGATCCCCTCGGCCTCGAGACGGCCAAATCCCCCCGACACCGCGGTTCGCAACGCCGCCTCCACTCACGTGCCCGTAGCCAGCATGGCCGGGCCGGCGCCGTCGCGGCCCTCAAAAGACATGGCGGTGCATTGCGTCACTTCCGCGTGGTTAGCCTTCCTCCACTGCACCGCCTGCCTCCCTTAGCCTGGCCGCCTGTGACCAGGGGACTTCATCTGGACCTCAGTGGGGCGCAGTGGCCGATAGCAGGGTGCCCATAAGACTGAGGATGACAGGAAAGCTTCAGCTTGTTCAGATGCAAGCCGAGACCCTTCCGGTTTGCTCCCTAGAAATAGCGCTATTCTGCACACACTTATTCCAGTCCCAGAATACTCATTATCAATGTATACGGCAGTGAAGGAAAGCAGTGCCCATTAATAAACATAGTGACTAGCTTGGCTTCATCGGCCCGTAACTGTGTATGAGCTTTCCCTACACCCCTCTCCCCATCAGCACAAAGGCTGGCGAAGACCCACTAAGGCAGCTTTTCTTGCTTCAGCTTGCCCAGCTTAAACATGGCGACTCAGCCGGCTTCCTCTCGATGGTGACTCAGGAATTCTGGGAATGCTTCGTTCGAGGAGTCTACGCGGCTTCACCCCATTCCACTGCATCCCTCAGCGCCTCTCACCTTCTTTCACTTTATCAGTTCCTCTTTTCCAGCACCTCGCTGTCGCGCCCCGAAGAGAGACAGGACTGCCCCGCATTAACATGGCCACAGCTGCCCAAGCTTGGGCTTTGCCCTCAAGCAAAATGGCACCTCCTTTGGCCTCTGTGCCAGTTTGTAATATGGAGAAGGAAGTAGGCGTTGCTAAGTGGGCAGTGGCTAGGGGGCGGGGCTTCTAGTCCCGCCCTCTTGTTTTCTTCGTGGCGAGGGCGGCCCAACTGCGCATGCGCCCTCCTTCTGGCCGGCTCCGCCTTCGGCGCCTGTGCCACGTGATTGTCACTCCGGGTAACCACCCCACTTCCAAGTGATAGTTTGGCCCGCTCCCTGCAGGACAATAAACAGGAGCGCTACCACTGTCTGGACTTGAGGGGGAAAGTCTTATACCCGGATGTGATTCCCCGCTTAACCCGGAAGAGGAGGTGGCTAGTGCCGTGGGGCCTTGGCGGAGGCTATGGCGGGATCTGAATACCGGGTAAGCGGGGATCGCGCGTGCGGTGGCTTTGAAACACCTCCCCGTGGTTATCAGCTTCACGCCCGGACTCTGGCCGGTCTTTGGGAACGCAGGGCGGGTCTGAGCAGACGCCATTCTCTTATAAACACGCTGTCACTCTCCATGCCACTTCCCTGGGGGTGGGGGGGCGGGAGTCCTGTTTTTAGCTCCGCCCCTTCGGGCAGTTGAGACGCTCTCTTGGGCCACGCCCCCTCCGAAGCGCACCCCTCTAGCTGGGGACGAGCTGGGGTGCACTGGCTTCCGAATGCTGCACGGGTTTCTGCTTTCCTGGACCACTCTCCAGCCCCTTCCCCCCAGAACCAGGGGCGCCTATCCCCTGGTGGGGGTCGGGGAGCCCCTTTCCCTGGACCCGCCCCCTTGATGTCTTTTCCTTACGCCCTGCCCCTCCCTGGGTCCCGCCCTTAGGTGGTGTTTGAAAAGGGGGGTGTGTACCTGCACACGAGTGCCAAGAAGCACCAGGATCCAGATTCCCTCATCGCTGGCGTCATCCGTGTCGTAGAGAAGGTGGGTCGTGGGTGGGCAGCGTGGAAGTGGGGATCGATCTTTAGATCCTGATGTCTGGCATGGCACTTAAGCAGGGCTGAGGGTGGGATTGGAGTGAGGGGCTCAGAAGGAAATCTGGGAGACTTTCCCTGCAAAGTTTGGGGATGACGGTTTGGGCAGCGTGGCTTGAAGTCCCTTGTAACCCTTGTCCCCTCTCTCAGGACAATGACGTTCTCCTGCACTGGGCTCCTGTCGAGGAGGCTGGCGATTCCACCCAAATCCTCTTCTCCAAGAAGGTAGGCGTCCCTGGCTTCTCCCTTTTCTGCTGGGTTTGTCTGAGGCTGGAACATTGGGAAAGAATCTCACATAAATTCAGCCCTTCTCTCACATGGGAGCCCACTTGGGGACCAAATCCTTTTGGCTATTCAGTTTCACGTCCTGTGCAATGGAGTTGACAGTGGCCTTTCCTGAAGAGTAGCTATCTGGAGCCCTGGCCGAGGGGACAGCTGCGCCCTCAGCCCCTTGACTTCCTTGGAAAGCCCTGTTAGGTGCAAAGGGGTGGACCAGCCTGTGTAGTCAGCCGTGCGGGCTCATGCCGGAAGAAGCTCAGTCCCATCACCATGTCCTGAATGTTCCTCATGTGGCCTATGGCTTTCCTCTCGGCTCCTCCCGGCTGGACGTGGACAGTCAGTGTTCTCAGAGCTCTCAGGAAGGCCAGGAAGAGAGCGATGGGATGAATCAACCTTTGTTCTGCCACCGTGGGAGAGAGAGGACAGAACAGCTATTGGGTTGAAGCATGACTGGGGGGCCTTCTATCTTCCTTGGTCTAAACAGCACAGTGTTCCATTATAGCAGTTAGAGTCTCCCCCAGCCACTGGCAGGAGTGAAATGTAAAACATCAGGGCCTTCTGGGATTTTCACAACGGAATGACAGCACCGAGGAAGTTGCTACCTTATGGGCCGGCCCTGTTGAGTTCAAGAACACCGTATCCTCTGGAAGGGCCAGCCAGGGGACAGGAAGCTCTATCAGCAGAGCTGCCTCCCGCGCTCACACAGCCAGAGTCTGGGCACTGGAAGATTAAGTCAGCCCCAGGCTCTGTACGGAGGGAAGTGAAGATTGGCCTCTTTGCTTGGTGTGAGATAAGAGCCACAGGAGCCTTTTGCCGCTCCCACCCATCTTATGAGCAGTGACTGCGAGAATTGCCCCCCCCACCTACCTGCTCCGTGACACGTACCTACATCCCCTCCTCGGGCCGTGGTGCCATGCGTCTCAGACTACTGACAGACTTGGGTTACAGTCCTGTTCTGGCCACACTGGGTGACCTCTCTGAGCTTCCATTTCCCTCTTTGTTTGACGGGGCCTCTTTCCAGGCCCCCCAATGGCTCCGTTTCAGAAGATCTCTGAATGCACAGTTCTTCATTTGCTTTTTTTGTTTCTTTCCCTCCAGGACTCCAGCGGGGGTGACTCCTGCACGTCGGAGGAGGAACCGACATTTGACCCTGGCTATGAACCTGACTGGGCCGTCATCAGCACCGTGCGGCCACGGCCCCGCCCCACGGAGCCCAGGAAAGGTAAGCCGAGCAGGTGCCCCTAGAGGCGGGATCGGGTTCGTCCCATCCTCATGGCTCCAAAGACTTTGCTGCTCAGTCATTGGGGCTGGTTTCCAACCAAGACCAGCCTCGCCTGGCCCTTTGGGATTTACAGCCTTACTCGTGCCGTCTGCTGGTGGAGTTAACTTGTTATCGTGTAGTTGATTCTGCCTTGTTGTGACCCAGGGGGGCAGAGCAGTAGACCTGTTTCATGTTGTTGTTGTTGTTGTTATGTGCCGTCGAGTCGCTTGAGACTCATAGCGACCTTATGTACAACAGCCCTAAACTCCGCTCTGTCCTGTGCCAATCACACTGTCTCTGACACTCCCATCCCGATTACCCCAGTCACTGAATCAATCCACCTCATAGAGGGCCTTCCCCTCCTGCGCTGTCCCTCCACCCACCCAAGCATGATGTCCTTCTCCAAGGACCGGTCTCTCCTCACAACATGTTCATACCTTGTCAGACGAAGCCTCAGAATCCTTGCCTCTAAGGAGCAGCCCGGTTTAACCCTTTCCAGGACGAGTCTGTTTGTTTTCCTAGCAGTCCATGGTATTCTCAATACTCGTCTCCAGCACCACAGCTCAAAGGCATCAATTCTCCTTCTATCCTCCTTTGTCCTTGTCCAACTCTCTGATTCATAACAAGTGATTGCAAAGACCATGGCCTGTATCAGACGCACCTTAGTCTCCAGAGAGACACCATTGCTCTTCAGTACTTTGGAGAGGTCCCTAACAGCAGACTTTCCCATAGGGATTGCAAAACTGTTATCTTCACAGAATCACATTGCTATACCTTTATTCTGCAAAGCACACAGTGGATGTGAATTATTGAACTTTAAATTCACAGCCCATGCATTAAAGACAAAGTCTCCAGGTCTGCTAAGATTGGCCATGGACTCCCCAAGTGAATACTGCCCCACAAAGATTTAGCTACGCCAGCGCAGGCTACAGATGCAACCAGTGAAAAATGCTCTCCACAGTTACATGGGATATGGTGGGAGCCAGAGGAGGCTTCCAACCCCCAGGGCATCGGGGAGCCTTCTAAGGTGCTAGCAAACTTTGGTTCTGAGTCACACTTGGGAGTTCTGGTCCAGGGTCCACGGCACAAGGGACTGGCTTGTTTAGGAAGCCAAGAGCCTTTTTTTTTTTTTTTTTAAATTTAGGTTGTTTATTTTTCATTTCTATGAACATCTACAGAGATTTTGGGATTCCATTCATTCATTCTTGCACCCTTCGAGGTTTTTATTTTTGGGGGGTATGAAGTGAAGAGAAGGTTGGAGGTCAGGTGAGGTAGGAGAGAACAGACTTGAACTGGCAGTACGAGGTTGAAGATAATTATCCTTACGTGAATTCTGGGGTCTTGGGGAGTCTGGGGTTTTAGAGGAGGTATGTGTCACACTTGTCTTCTTTTTGGAACGACCTTGCGATTTTAATCCAGTGGAGATCTTGCCAAAGAAACAAACATAACTCAGAACTCCCCGAGGACAGGTTCTGGTCTGGCCCGGGGAGGGCCTGTTGGGAGTTGATTGTGTGCTGAGGGAGTGCCCTCAGTTAACAGGGCCGCTTCTGACTCCTCGTGCCCTCCTCCAACATGGTGTCTTCCTCATTAGGTGCCGAGTCCAGTGCCTCCCAGGGATCCTGGGCCTTCTCTGTGAGCCTGGGAGAGCTCAAGTCCATCCGCCGTTCGAAGCCAGGCCTGAACTGGGCCTACCTGGTTCTGGTGACCCAGGCTGGAGGCTCCCTGCCTGCCCTGCACTTCCACTGTGGGGGCACCCGTGCCTTGCTCCGTGTCCTCAGCCGCTACCTTCTCTTGGCCAGGTGAGTATCACCCACTGCTGTGCCCCGTCCCAATACAGCTATGTCCTGACCTCTTAGGGTCCTGAAAGAAATGCAAGAGAGAACCTAAAAAAAAAATGCTTAGAAAGGACTCACTAGGTGATAAAACTAAGAAATGAAAGGGTAATAGTGACTTGTCTTTTCTTGGCACCAGCGGTCAGGAAATCAAAAGACAAATTGCATTAGGTAAATCTGCTGTCAGGGACCTCTCCGGAGTACTGAGAAGCAGTGAGGTCAGTCTAGAGATTAAAGTGCCCCTGATCCAGGCCCTGGTCTTCACAATGATTTGCTGTGCATCAGAGAGCTGGACAGTGACTAAGGATGATAGAGGAGGAATTGATGCCTTTGCGTTGTGGCGCTGGAGAAGAGTCTTGAACGTGCCATGGACCGCCAAGAAAACAAATAGGTCTATCTTGGAGAGGGTGAAAACAAGTTTCTCCTTGAAGGCTAGCATTTTGAACCTCCGTTTCACATACTTGGGCACGTGGCCAGGAGAGACTGGTCCTTGGAGAAGGACATCTTTCTCGGAAGGGTGGAGGGACAGCACAGGAGAAGAAGACTCCGGTTGAAATGGATTGATACGGTGACTGGGGGAATGGTTGGTGTCTTAGAGTCAGTGAGACTGGCTCAGGACACGTCAGGCTTCAGAACTGCTGTACATAGGGGTGCTATGGGTCACAGGCGACTTGACGGCACTTAACGACAACGTTGGCTTAATACGGCATCCTTGGGTAGTTGTATGCTAACCAAAAAGATTAGAGTTTTTAGTCCACCCAGAGTTGCCTTGGAAAAAAGGTCTAGCAGTCCACTTGTCAAAAGTTCAGCCACTGACTCTATGGTACATGGTTTTTATTTACATTTTACTTGATGAGAAGGGAGCTGATGTGCTGACTTCTAATCACAGGATGTTACACAGGGTTGTTTGATTCTCCCTCTGAGTGTGTCTACCATGCTAGCAAGTGGCATCAGAAAACGTTTCATTTGTGGGGTGCTGACATAAATCATGATCAGTCCTGGGACAGAGGTCACACAGAATTTACAGACTGTATGTATAGTTTAGGGGGGTGTTAAGAACGTTATAGGGAGGGAGCTCTGGTGGCCTAATGGCAAGACGCTACACTGCAATCCCAGAGGTACGCGGTTCAAATCCACCAGATGCTCTGCTGGAGAAGGAGGGGGCAATCTCCTCCTGTACCAGTCAGATCTGATTTGACGGTACACATAAAAATAATACAATAAAAAAAAAAAGAACGTTACAGGGGATAGCTCAGGCTTACGCCCAAGGGGCATGTCAGGTCCCCAAAGAGGAGCTTTTTCTTAGTTCTTCTCATTCTGCCATACATACATACCCTTTTGCAGTTCCCTCAGGAAGGCCTCCTGGCGCCCACCGAGGACAGGATCCTCCCAGCCCGTTTGGGCAGGCTTTTCTCGATTCTGCCGCATGTCACCCCAAACTCTGACACTGAACCCCTCATGAGCCAGTTTCTGTCTTTAGTATTTCAACCCTTGACCCGTGTTACAGCTCTACTTGGAGGTTCATTGTCTCCTCTTTGCTTCCTGACTGATGATGTTGTTTTTCATATGGGTTTAAAGGGCACGTCAACTTGAAGGCCTGTGTGTCTGTCTCCCGCACTTTCCCCAGCCTGGGCCATGAACTACTTTATTTTCTTTTCATAGTCCTCAGATCATTACTTTATATAGCATATTGATGAGTTGTAAGCTGCAAACTGATCACAGAGAATGATTACAGAAAAGGTATCAAACCACAAGTTGTTAGCAGTTTTCTTACTACATTGCACTATTGATTGCTCTCTCTACGGCCTTATTCTCCACGGATTGGTAGCTCTCACCAAATGAGTGGGTGGGATTATGCAGAGGAGGTGGCTGTGTCCTACCAAGGGGATTGGATGGGTTTCCAATAATGCAAGTGAGGGGTTATTGCAGTGGAGTCGGGCAAATAAAGTCTGCTACATCCCTGGGAGGGGGTTAATTAGTTTTGCTATCCATGAGCTCTGGTGGCCTAGTGGCAAGAAGCTGCACTGCAGTTCCAGAGGTATGCGGTTCAAATCCATCAGATGCTCTGCTGGAGAAGGAGGGGCAGTCTCCTCCTGTACCAGCCAGATCCAATTTGACAGTATACACACAAAATAATAAAATAAAATAAAAATATTTAGGGAGCTCTGGTGGCCTAGTGGCAAGACACTGCACTGCAATCACAGAGGTATACAGTTCAAACCCACCAGATGCTCTGCTGGAGAAGGAGGGGCAATCTCCTCCTGTACTGGTCAGATCTGATTTGACAGTACACACACAATAACTAGTTTTGCTATCCAGCTGAGCTTAAAAAGCGCTGTCCCAGAGCAGTCCCATGGGATCTCACTCCCAGTAAGAAGAGCTAGGAGTGGAGCGTGTCCCTGGGACTCAGGATCCCTGCCCTGAGAACCTTCGAGTCCCAAGAAACGGAGAGAAGAGAGGGCTTACTGGAGGCAGCAGGAGCAGAGAAACGGTGGCAGCAGTAGATGGAGTGACGACCTTTCTGGCCCGCTGAGCAGGAAAGCTGAGTGTCTGTGGACAGGAGCCGTGCTGGTGGAGGAGGCTGCCCCTAGGCACTTGTCAGAAGACCTCGGCTTGCCAACCATTGAGCTAAAGAGCATAGCCGAGTGGGGCAGAGGCCGAGCTGGCCTGAGAGGCTGAGGGCTGGTGAGTGATGCACCTGTAAGCATGCCGGACATGCTCTTCTGATCAAGCAACTGCTGATCCTAAATTGTCATGGTTTTTTCTCCCCCCTAAAGCTCCGTGATTGTGAATCTTGTCTCTGAGCTCTCTGTGGCCACTGTAAAATGAATTATCAAACCTAAAGATACAGAGTGTGTGTGTGTGTGTACCGTCAAATCAGATCTGACTGGTAAAGGAGGAGATTGTTCCTCCTTCTCCAGCAGAGCATCTGGTGGATTTGAACCGCACACCTCTGAGATTGCAGTGTAGCTTCTTGCCACTAGGCCACCAGAGCTCCGACGGCACATAACAACAGCAACAACAAAGATACAGAGTGTCTTGAGAGCTGGTGTCAGAGTTAGTGAAAAGGCTGTAGGGTCTGAGCATTTCTGTCTGCTTCGTAGGAATCGGCTTGGGGCTGATGGCCTTGTTGATATCACTCTCTCATTTCTTACCATTTTCACAAATGTCGGTCAACCTGGATAAGATTGTCTAGGGGAGAAACAGTCTGAGAGCCCACTTTGCCCAGGTTGCTTGTTTCAGAGAGGTAGGGCAAAAGTTCAGGGGGAAATAATCTTTCAACTTCTTTACTTAAAGAACCAAGTCAAAAGGCCACATAAAGGAACTCATTTCATTGCATGCTGTTCCCTGTGACTTAGCAACTCCAGTCAATGGAAAACTGTTTCTTTCCTCATATTCCAGCAAAAGTCTCAGGGCTGTGTCTCATTGGTCCTGCCTTTTTAAAAAATTTGTGTGTGTGTGTGTGTGTGTGTGTGTACACGTACTGACAAATCAGATCTGACTGGTCCAGGAGGAGATGGTCCCTCCTTCTCCACCAGAACATCAGGTGGATTTGAACCGCACACCTCTGGGATTGCAGTGCAGCTTCTTGCCACTAGGCCACCAGAGCTCGCCTGGTCCTGCTTTTGTCACGTGACTCAAGCTTCTTGAGCAGGAACGTCTTCATTGGCACTCACCAGCCCTGGGTTATAAGCTCACCATTTGGAGCTAACTGATTACAGACCTTCACCCTCAGAGGGGCTGAGCTGAGACAACTCCAAGAGCAGTTTGGTTTCTGCAGCAAGGTGGTTGGGGGGGGGTGCATGTAGAGTGGGCACAAGACCCTCCCCCCATCGTTGACCAGAGCGTGCTCCCTCTCCCCTCGCAGCTCGCCACAGGACCCCCGCCTCTACCTTGTCTTCCCCCACGACTCTTCTGCTCTCTCCAATTCCTTCCACCACCTCCAGCTCTTTGACCAGGACAGTTCCAACGTGGTATCTGTGAGTCACTCCAGACCTAGGCGGGGAGTGGGTGTAGAGCCTGTCCAGTTACAGCGGGGTGACACAAAAAAGGATGGACTGGAGTGGTTGAGATGCAGAGCTGCAGAGTGCGGTGGGTGTGACAGGGAGGGTGGGCTGTAGTGAGAGAGGGAGGAAAGGGGTGGACTGTTGTAGGTGAGACAGTAAGTGGTGGGCTGTAGTGGCTGGAACAGGAAGGGGTGGGCTGTAGCTGGTGAGACAGTGGGTGGTGGGCTGTAGTGAGAGAGGGAGGAAAGGGGTGGACTGTTGTAGGTGAGACAGTAAGTGGTGGGCTGTAGTGGCTG